GAGCTTGATACTTCTGGCAGGTAATCGGAATAACATCGATTTGCCCCATCGATGTGTTCAATCGATGCGTCCCATTGTCATGGTCAAAAAGCCTAGCAAAGCTATGCCATACGATTTAGCGCATAATTGATTTGCAGAAGCTGTCGAGCCATTTAACTAGGCATGCTACTGTCATGCAGATCCGTATCCCATTGCCACTGAGCCCTTTCAGGACATGCCACCGGGCCGTTTGTTTCGGTTCACTGAGTCAGTATGAGCGGCAGAGACAGTGCAGGAAGCAATCTGGAGCTCGGAGAAGCCTATGAAGTCGGGTGGCACCCGGCCAGGTTACAGCTGGCACGCGAACTCCGTTATACACTTCGGCAAGCGGAACCGTGAGAGACGAGATAATGAACGCAGAGTTTGTTACCTGTAAGGTTGAATATCATATAGGACTCGGGCATAGAGAGTCTCTCAGCATCCGCACATGTGATGTGGTGAGGCTGGTTCAGCCTGTTGGTATAAAAGAACTCGCACACAGAGACTTATTATTATTTATACCGCACTAACCAACGTTTGGCGCGAACACATAACAGAAAACGGGGTAGCCAAACTCTCTTGTGGCTCATTAAAACCGCTGCTTAAATTGAGCGTTCCGAAAGGCAGTAGTCATCGGCGCTGAAACTATCGAACGAGTTTCGAGGTTCTTTCAGCACGGTGAGTGCCCCAGAAAATACGGGCCAATTAACCTCTAAATATTTGAGGAATTAAGTGCGCATTATAAACGAAGTTTGCATTAAAGATCGACTTTACTTTGAAATATAAGGTAAGGTAATTACTTTTAGTGAATGGTATGAATGAACCGAGCTGCTTTCTAACAAAAGGGTTTCAATTATTTCCTGCTTCTCATTACTTTGCAGTTTTTAGTAGTTATCTTTGTATTTCTCCCTATTCATCATAAGAAATTAGCGTGAGGATATTAAAGGCGTAAATCATGACACAGCATGCCATCCATTTAGGACTTCTAGGTGCCAAACATAGCAGTGACCTACGTAACAACCTGCATAACGATGAGCTTGAATCAAACTCCTGGTAATATAAAGCGGTGAACTTACCTGTGTAGTATTCTCAGCTCCCCTCTGTACAGACGCCGTTCACTCCAGTATCAGATCCCTCTCGGTTAACCAGACGAGCCTCCGACGGCGCGCCCAGTCAGAGACGAGACGAAACGGCAACTGGACGGGCAGCCGGCCGGACCGGTGACCGGCCTCAACCGACGCGACGGTCAGGAGAGGAGGGCACCCTCCCTCCCCCTCCCCACGGCCAGGAGAGGATGACAGACCACGGCCAGGAGAGGAGGGGAGGGCATCCCCGAAGCTCAGAACAGAACTATGAGAGCAGGCCAACCCACGGCCAGGAGAGGAGAGGAGGGCATCCTGACAGTCAGTGGAGGGGGACACTTGAATGGTCAGGAGAGGGGAGAATCTCATCTTGCCGGTCGCATAGCTCAGACAGCTCAGTTGGTAGAGCGTTGGACTCCGCGTGGTGAGAGCACGCGTTACCGGTTATAACAGTCCGGGTTTGAAGCGCGACGGGCGCTTGACATCTAAGGGCCTCCAGCCTCCTGACAGGTATGTTTGCGGTTGGTGGCAGGCTGTAGCCAGGCGAAGTCAGTGAGGGGACCGGCCGTGCGCGGCTATGTCAATGTGCGCACGTTAAACTTTGAACTCTAAATTCTGCCATAGAACTGGAATTGCGCGATCGGAGGGTAGAGAGCAGGGTCACCGCAAAAGGATTCGTCTGGCTTTGTCCTTGTGAATCCTTCCTATCAAAAGGTTCGGACTAAATTTATTTTTTTTTTTTAAATCTCGACGGTCAGCAGAGGAGACCATCCCACGACCAGGAGAAGAGGGGAGAGGAGGGCATCACAACGGTCAGGGGAGGGGGAGGGAAGGGCATCATGACGGCCAGGGGAGGAGCGCGTCCCACGGCCAGAGGGAGCATAGGCGACGGAACGGGGAGGGCACCGGGGCACCGTGCCCCCCTTTGATTTTGGCATTTTAACATTAGCCCTATGGGCGTTGCATGGAAAGAATGGGACCAAAAGTCGGCAGTGCCCCCCCCCCCCTAATTGAAGGTGTTCCGCCGCTACTGAAAGGGAGGGAGAGGGAGTCGAGGACGGTCGGTGGAGGGGAAGGGCATCCCCAACGGTCAGGGGAGGGTGGGTGAAGAGGGAATCCCGAATCCCGATGGTCAGGAGAGAGGAGAAGGGCAGCATGGGGATCAGTGAACAACTGTGCTGTATGCATGGACAGTCGGAAGGGAAATAGGGACACTTTGTTGGTCGGCGAGGGGGTATCCTGAAGGCCTGGAGGGGTAGGTACTTTAGTAACGGGGTCGGGACTCGGGAGGAGGGGGTCCCGTCGACCAGTCAGCAGGCAGGCCATCGCACGCTTACGCAACACGCCTCTCGTATCGGAGCTTCAGTAATGGGCGATCCGACGTTACATCGTTCGGGCTGCGAGCAATGTTGCGAGGAAATTGGAAGACGGCATACCCATTACCCAGCGCATGATTTACAGTCAATTTGACGCAGTTTCTTAGTGAACTGAACTGCGTTTCAGCGTATTATTTATCGTCCATTCGTCAGCGGATCAAAGTCTTAGGTATGTATTTAATTTACAATTTGGTTTGAAGAAGGTACTCCGTATTTGAAAGGATTATTATTTTGAAAAGAGCTGCTAGATTGATTAGACTGCTAGATACGCCTTAGTTTGTGTGGTGGTGAATTTGCTGATTTTTTTTTATTTTATAATAGGTGCAAATTCGAAATTGTTAGCAACTGCAGGCAGAAAAGTACACCTGGGAGCGTTTATCAAAACAGTAGGTATGTGTCGAGCAGACGGATGTCGGATAATAATTCTTTTTTTTAGACGTGTCGCCTGGATTAGGAAATAAAAGTTGGAAAACGGAAAGCCACTATACAAGGCGGTACAAAACGATTTATTGTTCAAAGCGTTGTGCTGAAGGAATAAGACGGCGATTATTCAAAGCGAATGGAGCAATGGATTCCAAAAACCCGTACCCTGGGCAAAGTGCATACTAGGGACTAGGGACCCATAAAGACTACAAATTACCTGAAAACAGACACTGGAAAAGAGACGCCAAACACCCGATCTCTTGCGAGCAATGTTCATCCCGTCATCAGTTGGGCGCTGCACCACGCGAGTGGGTTGCAAGCTATAACGTTATTTTGAGCTTTTTACACATATTTCTGATAAATGTGAAACATAGCCAAACGCCCATAGTTCACATTTGTTCATCGGAAGAAAAGGGCATGAGGCTCCGAACATCGAACATGGGACTGAAGCAGCGTCTTTTGCGCTGGTAATAAAAATGACGCCCTCAGATAATATCGCCAGTGAACACCGGATAATGCATGGCGTCGACATAGTAGACGCGCTACGTAGTGGTTCAAAGTCACGAAAATAATCCAACGTCTTAATAATGGATACTCGGACTCTGGTTATATTCAGATGGGCTACATCGTTTTGACTTATTATAGCCTCGATGTCGGATGACTGTAACACTGGAAACTTTTCTTCGAAATAATGTAGCACGACAAAGCAACAGCCCGTGACAGCCAGTCCTTTAGCTCTCGAATTGTTGCACCGAGCGTAACACTGGGACTGTGGCGATAAACTACAAGGACGCTGGCTTGTCGAGGAACTGGGCCGGACAAGAATGATCGACTTCCTTGGTTTAGTTTGGACGTCATATAATTCATGAACCAATAACGGAACCGGTTTATAACATACATCGAGTCTCGATCACGGCATGTCGAGGAAGAAGTCGTTGCATGAGCGTCAGCTGAAGGGAAGATGATGGGCCGAGCCAAGGCCCTGGCCGAGCAATCCCGGACCCTGGACAACGGACGGACATATTGTGTGGAAAGAACTGTGGCCTACTTATCCTTCAGTGAAGAGGACCGAAACAAAAATGACATCGTAGCTTACCGAAAGAGCCAAACTAGCCCTGCACTTCACGAACATGTCACATAGTTCGCATACGTATCCAGTTATTTGATTTTCACGATTCTCTTATAGCTACACCATTCTTGCACAAAGCTCTTTTAGTGCCTCTTCATTTCCGGTCCACGAAAACTATTTCGACTTACCATTTTTTTCTTTTCACTTCAAGTCATATCATCATCGTTATCGCATCTGTGAGCCGTTCATTATATATGAAAGATATTGACACATCCGAGAGCATCTCATGCCCATTCAGCCGTCTTCAATGCCCGACATTGCCGTTGATGCGAGGATGTGAAGAGCTCCCTCAGTGAGAATAAGTCGGCGCCTGGTCCCATCCGGCCAGCCACGTGACAAGATATTACTAGGTGACGGCATTCGAAGGTGCTTAGCAACAGTGGAGGCGTCAGATGCTCGAATCAACTCACATCCAGATATGACATCAGCGATTCAGCAAATTGAACCAACGTTATCTGAAATTGCGGCATAACCTGTCACTGTGCTTCTAGAGGTTCATCGTGTAAATACGAGTAAAAAGCATTATCAGTTATCATGGTCACCATTACAACTTGGTAGCATCATTGCGTCTCGTAGATCGAGTGCTACGACGTGTTCCAAGGATAAAAACCATATCAATGTAAGAGCAAAACACAGAGACGAATGCCATTTCCTAATCACCATCCATCCATGTTGCCATGGAGCTAGCACAGTAGCACAGTTGACCTTTTTACGACTATTTGCATTGCTTTTGTTTTATAGTTCAGATTACAGAAGCTCCATAAGATCACAATCCATGCGAGTGCTCAATGCACTTGTTCGTGAAGTAGAAAGGTTATCGTCGTGGCGCATATGCTGCGAAACGATGAATATTGAAAAGAAAGTACGCTCAGATGGAGACAAGAGACAATTTGCCTTGCTGTAAGTGATTTGAACATCCTGCTGGTCGCATTGGAAAATCGAACAGTCGGAGAGTGAAAAATCAAAGATAACTAGTTTGTCGATGATGGTATTCAGCGATTCAGAAAAATACTTGTGTACATTGTTCAATACATTTGACATACAAATGCACATTGCACAGTGCTTACATCTGATAACGACGATACAAATGCATGCATTAATTCAAATTGACTATACTCTCAGTATAACATTGATCCCGGATAATTTCCAGCCTGCCATGATATATCACCCTGCGTTATCCTCACCAAGCAAAGGCACATTGGTCCAGCATCTGACCAGCAAATACCCCTCCCTCTCACAACGCATCTCTCGGTACCACGAGTCTCCACCTCTAACACCAGAATCTTCACACCTTCAGCGCCCGGCTCTCTCAATGAAACTCCACTCGGTACAAGTCTCCATCTCTGACACAAAAGCCTCCCACCTTCCTCGGTCCAAACCTTCAGCTCCAGTCGGGGTCTATAGCGGCCGGGTCGTCACCGGCGTCGTCCCCCGGCCCGGGAGGCGGGGGCGGTATGAGGGCCGATACCCTGGCCAGGGCGCCGCCGGAGCCCTCCGCCCAGTCCTGACGGGCCTTCTCGCCGGAGATACCCTGACGGGAGAGGCACCGGTCACGAAAGGGTTGCTACATATGGGACGGTTTCTGGCATGATTCGCGCATCCCACCCAGCATGGGACGGTTTCTGGTATGATTGGTTATAAAAGTTACCCCTACATGTCCTAAATTGTACCAGCATCTCATCAACGAATTCTAAATCAATCCAAGAGATCAATCCACCTTGTATCACATGAATCCGAGGATTCAATCAGCCCAACACCATTGAAATTAGCCAATCGCCTCACCCTCAAATTACTTCCCAATCGTCCCAAGCCACCTCCCATCTCGCATTCTACCCAACAATCTCTCTAACCTTTCGCCGAATGGAGAGCTTGGCCGCCAGGTCTGCCATCAGGTCCCCACTGGGCGGTGCCTCCGTCTCCTGCAGTACAGGGATGCTTTCATCACCCATCAGTGTCACAACCGTGACACGGTGTCAGCGGCAGTGTCACCTGACACCAGCGACAACTGGTAATAGTGCAGCTACGATATCAACAGACGCGGATGACATCTGGTGGCAGCTGTGACGCACACTGGACTAGTTCGTGGAATTCATATGGACGGTGGAAATAGAGCAGGAACGGTAGAGATGATGACATAAGCACTATCAATGTCGGTGAGGGCGCAAAAACAATGACACTTATTATGGTAATGAAAGATGAGCGACACATGATAGGTGATTGTGTGATGAACGTTCTTTTTAAGTGGAAGAATGAAATGAAATCAAAGTAGATTATCTTTTTATTTCCAGTACGCTCACATTGTCTGATGTAACTATTATTTCAGCCGATGCCTTTCGCATCACAGTCCATCATCAAACCTTTTAAAGGGACTACCCCACCTTTAACATGGGGTTTGAGTTGAGATAGCCAAGTTTGCGGCGAGGTTCAGAAACCACTATCTATCTAGGTTGCAACCCCCGCGGCCTCTTGGTGTTGAAGAAATTCGTTCCCTTCATTTGAAAATGGGCCTTGTACAAGGCCCTATCTTCAACATGGAGCGACCGTTAGTGTGACGTCACCTCGTTTAGTCATTCTGATTTAAATGGGTTTGTTCGTTGAAAAATCGCTTAAAACTTGGTCTGAACTTTGTTGTGGTGCCTACAGAGTAAAAAGCATCAGCTTTATGACAGTAATGTGGCCTGGGGAAGGAGGTAATTTTGGGCTGTGACGTCACATATTTGAGTTTAATGAAAAATAAATACCAGAACCGTGTTCCTGGTCATCCAATCTATAAAGTCGGGCACAATTTAACTGGTTTTAACAACATTTTAGAAGGTGGGATAGTCCCTTTAAGAGCCTCCACTGTCCGTCTCCTGCCACTCAATCTAACGCACCCTTCCCTTAGTCCCTACCTCAGTCCGTCGCGGTGGCGGCGCGGCCGCCACAGAGCGCAGCTTGGCCCGGCCGCGGCCGCCCGCCTGCCGTATCGCCTCCATCAGGTCCGAGCGAGACGCAGAGCCGGCCAGATCGGGCACCACACTCGGCTGCCGGCGCCGACAGACAGACAGACATACATCAATAGACGGCGACTATCAAAACACACAGACGCAGATGAGACACAGCTCAGCGGCCGAGGCGGGCTGGGCGGTTTGAGCCACTAATGGCTGGATGAGAGAGTGAGTGAGTGAGTGAGTGAGTGAGTGAGTGAGTGAGTGAGTGAGTGAGTGAGTGAGTGAGTGAGTGAGTGAGTGAGTGAGTGAGTGAGTGAGTGAGTGAGTGAGTGAGAGAGAGAGAGAGAGAGAGAGAGAGAGAGAGAGAGAGAGAGAGAGAGAGAGAGAGAGAGAGAGAGAGAGAGAGAGAGAGAGAGAGAGAGAGAGAGAGAGAGAGAGAGGAGAAAAAAGAGCTAGCTGTTGAGTGTGCTGAACATTGCATACCTAGCACTCAGCCTAACAGTGACTAGCAGCTTCACATTCACTCCAACTGCAAATTACATGATGCGTCAGCTGATTAAATGTTAATGTCTTATTACGGATAACACTCTAACAATCCCAATACCAGCATCTTATAACGTCATTCGATTATCCAGAATACCTGCGCTAAAATGGCGTCGCTTAAATCGTACGGGTCGCGTGATATATCCTGCGGTCGTATCAGTTGTGGGATGAAAGACGCTTGCATGTTATTCACGTCGCCTGTATATACAGGTCTCGCGAGATTAAGCGGTAGGTTTTGCACTTTTACATTTCCGGTTATATCTCAGAAACTAATCGATTTACGATGAAGCCATTTTACACGATCATGGCCGGCTTGTTACCCAACAAGTCGATCGCATCTTCAACACTTAAAAGCTTAAGACGACGAAGATATAGCATAAAGTACACTAAATTTTCTAGGTGCAAAACCTACCGTTTAAACCCGCGAGACCTGTACATACATACATGGCTAATATTGGCTAATAATGTCATTGGAAATGTCATTGAGAGCGCGCAGTTGGATGAAGCGGCTCAGAAATCATGATTGGATCAGATGCAGCATTCCTGGGGTAAAAGTTTCCAAATAAGCTACTAAACAGAATATTGCCAATAGCTAGATCAAAAGGCTAGTTATTTAGGTTTCTCGGAAGTCTGTAATTTTCAACAACATGTGAATTACTTCGTACAATTCGTTAATAATGTAATAAAAACTGGTGTAAGGGCTTTACATGAAGCCCTTGAGAGACACAGTTCTTATAAACATTTTTGAAAGACGGTTCCTTCGCCACGGGACCGAAAGCAGCACGACCATGTAAAAAACGGATCCGCAGCCGCTGCGTGACGCTTGTTTTAAAATTAAAAACGAATCTTAATCTTTGAACCATTATTGATGTGAGCCCAAAGCAGGCTGACCTTACACGAACTCTCAGCGGTACCATTCGAGAGATTGCTGTTGCGCAACGCCAAAGGTTAACAACCCCCTGAAGCTTTGGTGTCAAAGCCATAGAACATTGTCCCCATGTTCAACGTACAGGCGGCTCGCAAGAGATTTGCAGGGCAGTCAAGCTAAATTGTTTGGTCGTGAGAACTGACTACCTGGCAGTGAAGTTGCACGTTAATGATTTTACCGTAATTACCCTTTATGATCATTAACCTTCAGCATGATGGGGCTGAATGGGAGACAGAGCCTCATTAAACTATGCATATGACATTTAAGTACCTAGGGATGAGAAATGATCAAAGTACGAGAGTTTCGGAAGCAAGCGGGATTGGTATTATCTGTGTAACTAGTTTCCTTCGTTTATTACAGGGTGTCCCAAAATTAATGTCACACCCTCCCACCACAACCTTTGTTTTGCCTTCTACTGCGCAATATCAATATAATTTCACCGGTACTGGCTCCCAGACCATATTGGCTACATTCTAGTCACGTGACCTTCGAATTTTTGTGACCCTGACCGGTCAAGGGGTGTACCGAGGTCATTTCCGGGGCAGTACCCAGCGCGCGGACCAGGTATCCAGGATGGCGAAACTGCAGAGCAAATCGTCCCGCAGCGGGGCAGTCGGCATGGTTGCCGGTGGCATGACCCACGGCCAGGTCGCCGAGGTACTGAGCATGAGTTGTCGCACGATTTGGCGCTGGTTATCACGCGACAGAAGCGAATAGACGCCTGGGAACAAGCTAGGTCGCGGCGGGAAGACTTCCGCCAGCCGGGTATAGCGCAGATCGTCATCGCGAAGTGCGGAGCTAAAGACGGGCTTATCTACAAGGAAACTGGCAAGGAGGCTGATTGCCAACAGTCATCCAGTCTTTAAATTGATAATCCATCGGTACCGGGGGATGTCTCTAAAGCTGAAGCCCAATAAGCCACGTTTCCAGCCGAAAACTTCTGCTGAACATGTCCAGGGTCATCTTTCAACAAGTCGGCGCCACGGCTCATCGAGCTAGAACGACGAAGGACTGGTACAGATCGAACTTCCCAGCATTCTGGGAGAAGGACAAATGGCCGGTGAATAGCCCCGACCTGTCGCCGATAGAAAATCTTTGGGAGATCGTCCTGTAAGAGGTGAGCAAAACGGCGCCAGGATAACCTGAACGCACGCTGACCAGGAACGTTCGATCTGTCTGGTCCAAGATCAGTCCACAGAATCTAGACATGTTGATGTCTGATGTCCCGGACCGTATGCTGGCCCGCATCAGGGAGAAGGTGGGATGCATAGGTACGTAAGAAAAGCGCGCCTCTCATGTTTGTTATTTTCATGAAATTGACGCTGGAAAGGTGTGACATTATTTTTGGGACACCCTGTATATACAAAGGTCAGATCAAGATTACTACATGTATATAGAACGGTCCGATGTCAGATGTAGACGTGCGCTAAATGGAAGTTTGGGAATGTATGTTGATGGACTCAGGACGTATATTATATGGACAATGGACACTAGACGCTGTACAATTTTGTAAAATTTTACCAAACGTAAATATAAAGAAGCTTTTCATCAGAAAAAGATGTTTGGAACTGGCTAAGCCGCATTGCAATAAAATCCGTAAACCACAGCATGGGAGCAAGCACTATGCATTCAAGCCTGTTCGCCTAGCTTGGTAAAAAAGGGAACAGGAAAATGGGCAGATAGCAGACAGAGTAGCTCTCATGGGTGTATCATAATCAGAGTATTAGCAAATGGTCATTTGCTCGACATTATTACATGGCTTCCTCCTATCGGACGAACAGCTTCCATATCCATCATTGTGCCTAGCTCCCACTTCTCATCAAATTAGCCAGCGGCCCACCTTTCAACTCTCAGCAACGTTACTACAGCTTTCTGTAGCTTTCTGCTTTCGTCGATAAAGCCATATTTCACCGCTCAGCAGTAAACAATTCTCATCGCTCGCCAATACAAACAGCTTCCAACACCCGTTATTGAAAAAAGAACTCCCACCGCTTCTCAATTTAGCCGGCTTCTAACGCGCTAAACTACGAGGCTTATTGGCGCCGCACGCTGGCGGCTGTATGAGCTCGTGGGCGGCTCCATTTCCGGGGGAGTGCGCCAATAAGAGAGTGGACAAATCCCCGAAACGGTTCGACAATTGACTACCGATGTTTACTGTGATCCATGCCGCTGCGTGCCGAGGGTAACGGCACGGGTGGCCTGTGGGGGGTGACACGTGCGGAGGAGGGGGGGGGGGGTGTACGTGAAGACGTAAAGTGACCAAGACCGGCGAGCAATGACACATTTGAGAGTAGCTTCATCATTCGGCCAAGTGTTAACAGAAGAGGTTTGCAGAAGGAGATTATAAAGAGATAGAGATAAGAGATTATAGGCATGCATGCATCTTCAAGAAAAGAAGCGACCGAAAAGATGGCAAGCTTAGTTATGAAATCCATCCGGCAATCTCCCGATGTAAAAACGACAACACGTCATAGCTATATTGGACTATTCTACCCATAACTGATGTAATTTGCAGATACAGCATGTCATATTCCTGGAGGATCCACAAGGAGGAAATTTAATTTGCGATAAGGATGCTTTATTGACTGGAACCCAGATAAAGTGGGGTCTAAGCTGGTTGTAATTTTGCGACTATGTTCATCTGTGACACTTTACCGCGTCATAAGCAGCATAAGTAATGTAAGCACCGTAGGATATTGCATTGCGGGATATAAAAGAAAACGGTATGGCGAGCATATTGCGGACGCCAGACATTAGTATAGTTTGCCACTGTTGTAACAGTTGCATTATATTTTTAGTGTTGACATCGATCGCAGGATATTATGATTTAAGTAACTTATGGTGATTATAATAACACAGAAAGGGAAAGAAGAGAAAATTTAGATAAAAACGATATATTGTTTAAGATTGATGACGCTAAATAGAAGTTGTACAGTAAATAACACTCAACATTTAACTTGTCTGTATGTATGTCTGGCTTTCAACTTGTCTGTGGGATTACGTCTCAGCCCCGGAGAACAAGACAAACAAACATGTAATTGTACTAGCTTTAGTCTGGCTTGTGTGCAGAAATGCAGTAAACAGTGGGAACAACTCTTATTAGACTGTCGCCAGTAATAAGCTTCCCGGAAAAGTCGAGGGCGAGGCTCTTCCAGATTTGAGAGCGGTAACAAAATAGTCTGCTAATCTACCAGCACGTGTAACAGAAAAGTGTAACTATTTATTGGCACTTGCATCATCCACATAAAAACCTTTTCAGTTCAGGTCATTTCATTGCGAATGGATGAATGATTCCGTGGACTTTTCCGTAGTGTTCGCCGCTTCTCGCCACTGCGTGCGTAGTCCTGAAGATACTTTGGAAATGATTTAATCTATTCCGCCCGCGCACATTTGTGCGTTGGCAGCAGAAATAAAACGCTATCGAGAATCAGTGGGACTCTATTAACCTTCGCCCGTATAGGGGGGGGGGGGTCGAACGGACACCCCCTCGATTTTTCGCGAATAACTCGCGTAAAAAGCGGCCGATCGTAACGAAACTTTCAGTACCCTCGCGTTAATCAATTTTACACATACCCTGAAATTTTCATGACCCTGACCCTAATGACCTTTGACCTGTGACCTACTTTTCGAGACCATGTTTGGCTGGAATCGCGATTCGGCGTATGTCGGCTCGCATTAGCCGCGCGTTTGCAGTCTTTTCGTGGTTTTAAGCGTTCAAACATGGGATATGATGTTGCTCCCATGCATTAGGGTGGGTGTCAAGGTCACCGAAAGGTGAAGTCAGGTCATTGACCTTTGATGACCTCGGTTCACTTTTTCGAGTTTTACATGTTTCTAGGGCAGTTTTTGGAGCTGAATTAGAATTTAGCAACCATATGAACATTTACGAAGTAGTTTTGGCGCCTTCGTAACATGTTACGAAGCTGTCAGAGGTGGTTGCCACCTACTACGAATACCCTTACTGGTTGACCTGACCTAACCCGACCTGGCCTAAATGCATGAAGACATCATCTGTGATCAAAACTAACATGATATTCGTGAACAGCACCCAGAAAAACCCCATAGCAGCCACGCTTTGCGACTTTCTAACAGGTCCCGCTTTTCCCGACTTTTGGGTCATTGACCCTGATCTGGAAGGTCAACCGATGACCTAGGACCTTACAATTGGGTATCATCGGCTTCCTCTAGTCACGGGCAACACGCTCGTTTTTTTTCCGCGAAGCTCTAGCTCGATCAGGGGCGAAACGGCAAGGGGGGGGGGGTCCAACGGACACCCCCCTTATACGTTCGTGGCTGGAAAAACACCAATACGGGCGAGGGTTAACTTATCAGCTAGCCAGACAATATCAGAGGATGCGTTAAACAATGTTCCCGTTTACATGACGCAGTTGTCAAACATGAGTCTTCTTGAGAACCCCTTCCTCATCAGACCGAAGACGTCTTCCCTCATTAGAAGTAACTCAGAAAAAAGAACCAATCAAATGCGATCATAACCATGAAAGAAGCATGTTCCTCAATCAATATTTTTTTCGGTATCTTCAAAAAAAACGCGCTAATGATCAAGCGAGGATAAGTTCAGACAGCTGATAAGGAAGACAAGAAAAATTGCGTAAGCTGAGACGATTACCACAAACTCAAAGTTTATGACTATTCAATTACAACAAAGTGACACGAGACTTATGTCGCTTCATGGCCTCATATGCTTATTGCTTAGTTTAATTATAACGATAGAGATACGTTTGCATGCACACACAATGCACATAGTGACATACATATGAAGCTTCCCGCAAAGCCAACATCTTCTCAAATAGACTGAGCTGATCAGACTGGTGACTGATGAACGAATTAGCAGCAGCCTTCTTAAATAACAACAAAATTAAATAGAGCTCGGCGTTTGATTCATTGCCGGCATTAAATGGCTCTCTGGAAACTGAAATATATCACACTGGTGCGTTACCTCTGGCATGTTTCTCGCGTGAGTGAAATCGTTCGAGTTCATTTGTTCCTTGTCATAACTGCGCAATAGCTGGGTGCCTGGATAAGCTCAAGATAAACGCCAGTGGTCATATATCAACCACCACCATTCTATAAAGCCTACCAATGCATCAACTACCCTGGTGGTACCAATCTAAAAATTGGTACAACTTCGAGCCTGTGTTCTAACTTCTAATATCGCCTAGGCTGTATTTTTTTTTTCATTGGCGCTCATGAATTCGGACGAGCATTTTCATCGTGCACCATACACTACGATGTGAGATACGGCTCTCCAACCTCCAGTAGCTGCATGCTCCTCACCTTTTCGGGAGTTGAAGCCGACTCCGGTGGGCCGGGCGATGCCTCTGTCGCTGCTGGCGCCGGTGGTTGCGGTGGAGGCGGCGGTGGCGGGGGCGGCGGCGGCGGCGGAGGCGGGGGCGGAGCGGTCACCACCCCATCCCCCTCCCGTCCTGCCGCTGTCACCTGCCCGCCCGCCGGTGGCGGGGGCGGGGGCGGCGGCGGCACGGCAGGATCCATGCCGCCATCGACTGCCGGCGGCAGCTCCGGCAGCGGCAGATCAGCAGCGAGCAGCACGGACGGCGCGATGGCCGGCCCCGGCTCGGTACAGAAGGTCACGTCGGCGGCGATACCGGGCAGGTGGGGCAGCTGCAGCGGCGCCGACAGCTCCGGTAGGTCACCCAGCTCCGGCCGGTACAGCAGCGGCTCGGACTGGGACGGGCGGGAAGATCACGGTGTGTCAGTGATTTGAGAGCATATCCAGACAGAGACACACGCGTATACGAAACACTAGCGACAAGGCGGTATTGACCTATGTGTGAGAAGAGGTGATGCGTTTTAGCTACACAAGATACATTCTAATTGAAGCTGCTATAAGATAGTTTTCGTTTTTCATACGATGTCCTCTGCACCTTTCAATTATGCATTGGCACGGAATTTTTGGTCACGTGGCGCATCATTCACCAGAAATACAGCGATAAGACATGATGCAATGAGCAATCACGCATAAAGTATCCAGTATCCACTGTCCCAGATACTAATGACCATCCCCCTCCCCTCCCTGTCCATATACTCACCAGCTGTGTGGAGCTTTGGTCTCGGTAGAGGGACACCGGAGCCTCAGCCAGCTGCTCGCCCGGGTTGGTGGCGGAGGTCGGCGCCCCCTGGCCGGAGGAGGGTGCTCCCCGCAGAGGGTCCGCCCCGGTACCGCCAGAGAACCTGCCGGGAGAGGGTCAAAGGTCGGGTGAGGTGAGGTCATTGATTACATACGTGGACGAAGCAAATGAAGTGAGGTTTACGGGTTACATACAGAGCTGCAGAGTTTGCTCCACGATGAGATTGCAGTTCTAAGTCACCGTGATCTTGCACATTTTCAGCGCTAAATGGAAAATGTCACAAATAGTTCAAGAACAATACGAGTAAATGCGAAGAAATGCTTCAAATGGCATCGCTGGAAAGCCATATCTAATATCTATGCTGGGCAATGCAGCTCTTATGTGCCGCGATAGAAAAAAAAAACGCACAGACGCATCACACACCAGCGCCGCAGCAGAGCCGCAGCACACCACCGTTTCACACCAGCCGCGCACCCCATTCACCGATTTCACCACCACACACACCACACACACCACACACCCGCGTTCTGCCCCAAAGCCTCGCTTCACACTGAACCACCACGCAGATCCGCGAGACCAGATGTCCGTAGAACACCTCTCCTCGAACACGCAGTGGAAAACCCAACACCGCACTTCGATGCCGGGCGAAAAGCCGCGGCCTAAAAGCGCAAAAACAACAGTAGGGTGATGGGAAAATTGTATGTAATTAGCTGTCATTACTTGAAGGGATGGCGATAACATCTGGAACTTCGCATCCAATTAGTATGAAGCGTCGGAACCACTTAGGTATGAAGTGTGTCACGACCCATTTGATTGGATGTGTGAGGGAAGAGACAAGAGGAGGTTGGTCGACGAGAGATGATTGGAGAGAGAGAGAGAGAGAGAGAGAGAGAGAGAGAGAGAGAGAGAGAGAGAGAGAGAGAGAGAGGGGGGAGAGAGGGAGAGGAGAGAGGTTAGGGGAGAGAGCGAGAGAGAGAGAGAGAGGAGGGGAGAGAGGAGAGAGGAGACAGGTAGAGGGAGAGCGAGGGGGATAGAGGGAGGGAAAGAGTGACTAGGAAAGGCGGAAGAGAAGAGGAATCAGCGCTGATGGGGGAAAACTGGTGTCGATAAATGTGATGAGTTTTTCAATAAAGGTGAGAGAGTACATACATAAATGATGAATCATGAAAGTGACATCATGCAGAATCAAAGAGATGAGTAAGCAGTTGTATAATGTGCAATAGGTGAAGCTGCGGAACTGGTCACTGTTATTAGCATAGCACCCCGTATAGAGCGTTGAACATTCAGTCTACTCACGCGTTCTTGTCGGTGTTGAAGACCAGCAGGGAGGCGGCGGACCGGAGTTCGTCCGGCGGTCGGCGGATGGAAGGGTCCGGCGGCTCGCGCTCCGCAGCCCGCTTCACGTGGAAAAACTGCAGCTTCTCCTGGTGGAAGAAACGTAAAGTGATAGTACCGGCGGCGACCCCTAGGCTAATTGCGAATAAAGAACGTGAAGAGCGTAAGAAATAAGAATACGTTCTCCAAATGCATCAAGATGTCACAAACTGTCATCTTTCTATTCTGCCTTATATTCTTCCATATCGTCGTTATGGTTGTCTTTAATTCGCGTTTTTTTTTTTCTTCAAATAACTGTAACACGACTAGACCGCAGCAGACAAAAAGTGTTCAGACAAAGCATAAATAAATCAATTATAATCACATCCAGCCACCAGGCGCCTCTAACCTTCGGAGGTGTCTCAATCCAGGCGTCCTCGCCGTTGGAAGGGACCTCCGTCCACTTCATTTCCAGTTTGTCGGCCAGTTCGAAAATATCCTCAGAGTCAGAGATGCCAGTGTCTTCCTGCGGCGGCGACGGGAACTTGGAGCTGGAGAATATCTGCCCAGGTGGACCGAAATTACGGTGAATTCATCGCGATGAGAGATCAAGTATAGACAAGAAGTTGAACGAATCTGTCAAGGCAGATTATGAGAGATCAAGTATAGACAAGAAGTTGAACGAATCTGTCAAGGCAGTGGAATGAACACTGCGAATTTTTTTTTATTAATATGTGTCACTTACAAAGAAACATTATACCCTGACTTCCCGCCACTCCCACTGACCTGAAGTGCCTTGGTGCCTCCCTCCAGCTGGCGAACCTGCTCCGACACGACCTCCGCGCGCCGCTGGAGGCCGCCGAGCCGGCGGCGGCAGGCGGCGGCGCGGCGCGACACCCGACTCATCACCATGTCGGAGACGGCCTGCAGCTGGTCCAGCACGTCCGCTATCTGCAGCAGCGTCTCCTGCGGCCGCAGGTCCGAGGAGACCAGCGGCACCGTCACCGGCACGGCGGCCGGAACCGTGGCCGGCGTGGTGGCCGGCGCGTCCATCGCTGCCGCGGTGAGGGCGAGAGGTGATCGGAAACAGCTCAGACTGGAAGGGTAAACACAGATTCTCAGTTGATTTGAAATTTCGCAAAGATATCAATCTCAGTCAAACTGGTTATTCCTGCCAAAGTGCTGATCTGGTAAGGGTTGGGAAAGGACCATCACAGTCAATGCCAATTGCCAATATCCATCCAGTCCAGCCATCATCCATTCTGACTTCTCCTTGCATTTAGATGTATATTTAGCTGCTGCTGCGGCAAAAGCTAATCAGATCCTGGGTATCATCAAACGTTCGTTCGAGCTTATTGACAAGTCCACCCTCCCACTGCTGTACAAAATGATAGTACGCCCACACTTAGAATATGGTAACGTGGCATGGGGCCCATTCAATCACGCCGACCAACTTCTGATCGAACGTGTTCAAAGGAGAGCAACGCACCTGGTAACTTCAATCAGACATCTTCCCTATGAGGAGCGACTACAAGTACTGAAACTGCCTTCGCTGTTCTATCGTCTGCGTTGAGGCGATATGTTACAAATGCACCAGCTATTCCACTGAGGTGTCGACCTGGCTCCAGAAGACTTCTTCTCTGCGGCCACGGACGGTCGTACTCGAGGTCACTCACGGCAGGTCCAGAGCCAGAGGTAAGGTAAGGTATATGTGCATTTGGGAGTGGGACAATTTTCAGTTGGAATTTTCAGTTTTTCAGTGACTCTGGTGATATGAAGGAGCCAGACTGGAAAACATCCATACACTACGCCGGACGCCCGTGAGACCCTCTTGCGCCAAAATTCGGCGCAAGCGATTTTGCGCCAAAATTTCTGCGTGATTTGTGCTAAAAATTAGGTGCCTATTTGTGCGAAAATTAAGCCTTTTTCATATAAAACACATGTGCACATCTACTGATCAAGGCTATATCAACCAGACAGAGTGTTTCGGGGCCTTGTATGCTCTCCCATGTTTGGGCGTCCGAATGAGTTTTTTTTATTTCCACGTAAACCCAATACCTCGGCGGGAGCCAGCGAGGTCCGGGCAGCGGAGCAGCACGTGCTCCGGCACATCAGCCTCTTCTCGGCTCACGGTTCAGACTCAGAGCGCCGCGGGGCACCGCTTGTCTGGGCACTGCTGGCACGCGGCGGAGTGGAGACAGCCGATTCGCTGCCGTACTGGAGCGAGTGGCCCCGGCGGCCCGCCCTCATCTGGTGCACCGAAATGGCATCATCTCGGTCCTCTCCGCCTCCGGGGATAGGGAGCGGCGGCGTGCTCCCGAGAAGTGGCTTGAATAGTGATTCTGAGCAGTTGTCGCGCCACTGATGCGAGGCCGCACAATGAACTGCCCTGGTCAGCGATCGGGCGTTTGAGGGCAGGGCGGCCACCTGTTTAGCCAGGTCGTCCGCGCTCTCATTCCCCTCAATACTGCAGTGAGCAGGAACCCACTGCTATTGCTTGACAGCACTCGGCGACACTCAGCAAGGTTTTCCATACCTATCTCTACGCCGAAGGTTGAAGCCTCATCGGGGCAACCGTTCCTCCACTGAGTACTCAGGGCAGCTCGCCAGTTCGAGCATGGGACGACCGGGGCAGGGACGTCTCATCCCGCAACATCTCCAGTCTCCAGAGCCGCCCGCGGGGCGAATCTGCTGCTAAATTGACCAGCGTACCGCATAAATTCGGTGACCGTCTTTCGTAAAAAAATATGTGACCGCCCTGCGCCGAAAAAATTCGTCCGCCGCCATGCGCTGAATTCGGCGAAGCGAAGTTACGCCGGACGAGCACTGAAATTTTCGGCGCAATCCCGCTACTATGCCGGACATATTCGGCATAACGCGCATTTTTTCCAATCTGGTGAAGGAGTACAATCCCCACATAAATGACCTGGTTTAATGCAGGAAAATAAACAGAGCCTTTAAATGAAAAAAAAATGCTTGACATAATACATTACTCTCAATTTCTTTCCTCTAAAATGCAGTATATGCCCAAAACGAGCTTAAATGGAGTTAGAATGTGATTTATTGAATTAGTGAAAAGATGAAAAATGGATGTCAGAAGAAGCCACCTTTAAAAAGTTAACTTCGTTAACTTGCTTGCTGGGTTGGGTTGGGATCAAGGCTATATAAACCAGGTAGAACGCTCCGGGAAAAAAGTTGGAAACAATAAATTAGTTGCGGCATTCCCTGATGACGCGAATGTGGGTCAGCGGCCGGTGGCCTGGCCGGCCGCCGCTAACACTGTATGAGGAGGGATGCGCGGAACTTTTGCTTGTTGGTCATAGGCGGCGGAACGGGGGGGGCACCGGGGCACCGTGCCCCCCCCTTGAATTCTGCAAGGGGGGCACCAATAGCAAGGTGCCCCCCCTTAAATTTGATGTATTAGTACCAGGGGCGGATTCGGGAAAACTCCAAGGAGAGGGTCATGAATCGAAGTGGTGCCCCTACCTATGCCCAAAATTAAAACCTCAACGGATTTCGGCCAGTTAATTTTGGTGGTGCCCTATTTTCAGTTTTTTTCTTTATTTTTGGTTACTCATGTGATGACTGGTGCCCCTGCTAAGCCGCTGGTGCCCCTGGGAAGACTGTGGTACCTACCTACCCTGCCCCCTGACAAGCCTACGGTGGGCCCTGACATGACTTAGGTGCCCATGGGCCCTGACAGGCCCGTGGTGCCCCTGACAGGCCTGTGGTGTCCTTGCTAGGCCTGTGGTGTCCCTGGGCCTTGGCAGGTTTGTGGTGCCCCTGTTAGAACGCAGGTGCCCTTGACAGGTTTGTGGTGCCTCTGACAATCCTAAATTGCCAACGACAGGCTTGTGGTGCCCTTGACAGGCCCATGGTGCCCTTGCGAAGCCGGTGGTTCCCCTGCGAAGCCGATAGTGTCCCTGACAGGCCTCTGGTGCCCCTGGCAGGTCTGTGGTGCCTCGGGAAGACCTGTAGTGCTTTTGCTAGGCCGATGGTGCTCCTGACAGGCCTGTGGTGCCACTGACAGGCCCGTGGTGCCCCTGCTAGGCCTTTGGCACCCCTGGCGGGCCTGTGGTGCCCCTGTCGGCTGTCAGGCCTGTGGTGCTCCTGGCAGGCATGTGGTGACCCCAGGCCCTAAGTCATGACCCATGTGACCTCCACCCTGGGATTCGCCACTGATTAGTATTGCGATGGCTTCTTGGGAATTATACATGTAGGATAAATGGAATTTATCAAACGACAATAAGGAAGAGACAAACACATAGGTACTTTTTTTTAAAATTTAGTCCGAATGGCTGAATGGGCGGATTTGAGGAATCAGAGTCTGCACTAAGCATAGCTTGTTGTGCTGACCCTGACCCCACCACCCGATCGCGCAATGCCAGTTGTATGGCAGAATTTTGTCCGAACGTTTAACGTGCCCTCACGATTGGACACGGTCCCCTCCGCTCACTCACGTTACCTGGCTTCTGTGGGGCCCCTGCCACAGACACGCACGCCATTACACGTAGGAGCTAAATGTGGCCGCCCGCACCGGGGCTTGAACCGGGCTCTCACTTCCGGCTAGGCGTCGAATTCCGGCGCTTTTATCCACTCGGCCACGGAGAGGACTTCAGTACTTGAGTACTTGAGGATCAGCTTAAAGTTAACCACACATACGGGCAGGGGTGTAATTTTCCTAAAATGATTGTGGGTGCCCAGCTGTAGGGGCGCCCGGCGCCAGGCCGTTTTGGGGCGCGATAGATATTCTTTATGTGGGAGCCTAAATTAACACCGAATTTGATAACATTGCTAGCCGAATGGCGCTTCAAGTGACGTGTCTGACTAAGCAAATACACGCTTAAAAGTGGAAACTGACCGGAAGGACGTAAAAAATATGTAGAGAGGCGCTATCCAGTAGGAGGGGCACCAAATGTGGAGGCGCCAGACGGTTACGACTTACGAGGGCGCCGTGAGACGATGAAAAGGGCGCCATTCTCTTAGGAGGGCGCCGAGTGATTGAAAACGCTATGTGGTCCAGGGGCGCTAAGAGGCCAGAAGGGCGCCGCACAGTCAGTAGTGCTACGTTGGTGGGGACGTGGGGGCGCCAGATGGTTACGAGGGCGCCTTGAGATCATGAAAAGGGCGCCATTCTCGTAAAAGGGTGCCGAATGATTGAAAACGCTATATGTGGTTCAGGGGCGCTGAGAGGCCAGAAGGGCGCCGAATAGTCGAGGGATGCACGGTGAACAGAGACCTAAGGACGCGAGGCGGTCAGGAGGGCGCCGTTAGACCATGACAATGGCGCGGTGCTGTCAAAAGTGCGCCATTCTCCCAGAAGGGCGCCGAGTGATTAAAAACGCTTTCCATGAACGCGAGACGGTCAGGAGGACACCGTTAGAGCATGCGAAGGGCACCGTGCTTTCGAAAGGACGCTTGCAGCCTTGTAAAAGACTTGTGGGTGCTTTTTCATCATTGTGGGGGCATAATTCAGGATTGTGGGTGCATATGCCCCCACAAAGAGATATAAAATTAGGTACACCCCTGCATACGGGGGTGAACTGCCATTTTCGTTTAGTAAAAAAAAAAAAAAATCATCGTGTCAGGGCTGTGACGAAAAATAAGTGGCCTAAATCCGATGAGAAAACAGGATTTGGGGGTACCCTAGGTTTGGCTCCTTGAGCCATGGTGCCCCCCCTTGTCTCAAATCGTTCCGCCGCCTATGTTGTTGGTGATTGCGCTAGGCAGTTAAATGGTAATGTTAGGATATGTTTCGAGAGTAAATTGAACGACGCTTCGAACGCCGTCAATGAATTTGCGATACGACGACTATTTGTTTAGTTAGAGCCGGCGAACTTTTACCTTCCGACCGCGCACGGAGGCGACACGGTATATAGAGAACTAGGTAAAACCGGTTTGCCGCCACAACACTAAGGTATTTTAACCACTATTTTCAGCTGGCCTTCTCAGTCCAAAAAAAGAAACTAGGCCACGTATCTTTATGTGTTTTATTATTTATATATAAATTGGCAATAAAGTTGCACAGGGCAAGACTAGCGTAACTCTGTAAAGTATTTGCGAAGATAATTTTTTGACCGACCACGCCATTTCGAAAATAATATATCTTTGGTTGTAGGAGTTTGTTATTGATTAAATCAAATTTTATTCCTTAAAAATTTAAATTAATAGTAAAAAAGTATTATCAAGTGCCAATATTGTTTCTTTCAATTTCGAAACCACCAAGCTCAGCAAATGGCGGGCCCACCTGACCAGCCAACGTTTTACCACAAATTATCGAATAAAATCAGTTGTATAGGTTGTAAATCATGATCGAACAATATCAAAATTGAATATTCTTTCCGATTTTATGTGCTATTTCATTTGTTCATGCTCAAAACTAGAATAAATCGATGTTGAATGTAAAACCACCTTCGGTGATCTTGGTCACACTGTTTCACTAGATGTAATGGTTTTCAAAAACAAGACCGAGTCGGCGTCTGAAACGTTCACCAAAATATGCAGAAATGCTGAAATTATAAGGTGTCAAAGTATCAAAGCTCATCTAATGGGGGAACATTGTCAATTTTGCTTCCAAATCCGAAAGATGGCATTTTGGGTACCAATCAACTCCGAACAAAAAACATTGATGCTCGGTAAACATGGTGGTGATGGGTTCGCAAAAGGTCCTAATCAAAATGAAAATTTTATTTTCTTCCCAAGTATGCATGTTTTATTGCAGTTTCGGTGCTATAAGTTATATATTTTTGGTCTATAATGTATCAGCCTCCTTGCTGTTTGAGGTCACACTGTAACAGTCGGTGGCATATTACTAAAAAATAAGACCGAGTCGGCATTTATTGAGGGTACTATATGAAACAGAATTTAATTTTCTATCTGATGTTATAAGTTTCAAAACATGACTAATGGGGGAACATTACGAAATTCGATGTTAAAAGCTGCTGACCACGATTATACACCCACAGCTGCTCACGGTTTCGTGTACTGCAAATGCTGCTAATATAGTTCTGACGCTAGCAGACGCACGTTTTTGCATTCAATTGGCTGCTACGGCGTTCCATGTGATGATGGAGAACATCCCTGGTTTTCGACTTTTGTGTGTTGTGTATATTAGGCACATTTCAATTCAAATTTGAATTTGCTTCTCTCACTTCTGTGGGTCTTGGAGTTGTGGATATATTTTGTGGAGCGCGGAGCATCGGGGATTTGTGGAGTATTGGATTGACGTTTTCTTGGTGTTTTTTTTTTTAAGATATTTTCATAGGCTACAATGCCACCAGGAAGACCAAGACAAGACAGTGCTCATGCCCGAATCATCGGCAACACAGGATGGCAAACTTCGCCTCCCCTGGCTTGCATGAAGCCTTGATTTCCATTTAAGGAAGTAAGTCTGTGCCCAAATGGATGATGCACGTGTTGGGCATTTTTGCAAAACAAAGCGGTTGAAAGGGTTCATTTGCCGAGGCTGTATGGAGTACGCTAAGCAATGTCATGCTGATGGGGAGACGTGAGTATGACAATGAAACAGACTACAATTCTTGGCAAAAGGGCTAGCAAAATGCATCATTGAGTTTGACAATTCTGTACCAGTCATTGTCAAGCTGGAAATCTTGGTAACGGTAAAGCTGGGGTCACCGTCAGCATATAGGTATCAGTCGGGCAAACTGCAGAGAGGTAATCTAAAATAAGATTTATCTAATTTAAGAATATGACGTCACCCAAATGTGCTGAGTGATGACCATATAAGGAGTGATGATCAATATTTAGACTATATTCCCGACATGTCCACATTTGAACCCTCCACAACCATCGAAGAACTGCTCATAACCACAATATTTGTTTTGCTGACTGACAGACAAAACATGATCCTACAAATTGTGAACTGGCCAGCTCATTTGAGATTGGAATTTGTCACTGGTGACCAAGATATTTGGGCATTAGTAGAGCAGATGTTACACAGAGGTTTTACAACTGAGGAGAAGTGCTCATATGCTTCTTGCTTCCAGAGATGCTTCTTTTTAACACCAAACCAAACCTTACCTGACATAATCTAACCTACAAGTCAGCATACAAACTAAAACCCTACAACCTACAAACCTACAGCTTTGCCTCTCCTTGGTTGGAAACCCTTCCTATGAGCATCCTGCTCTCTTTGCCTATTTATCTACTTGGTAAGCATAAGCGCCTTCATTTGACATCTGCTCTACTAGTGCCATTAATGTTAATTTGTAACCTAACCAAACCTAACCTAACCCAAACCCTGCTCATAACTGTGATAAGTTGCAGTCCTAACTCCTAACATCACTTTGATTCTCCTCAGCCAATTACATCAAGAGGGAGACCACACTGACAGGGGTCCAAGATCCAACTCAGGCCCTACTGTAAGTGTGGATGTCCTGACCTGTAGCCAGAAGCACTGCCACTGGAGCACAGCAGCTAATTCCCTATCTTCCTTCCAGCTCCACAATGGTCTGCATTTCTGCAATGGTCTCAACAGGCCTAACTGAACACAAAAGGCATTTTCATTTGCTAACAGTTTAAGACTAATATTATTCTAAAAACGGTTGTAAAGCAATGTATAATGAAATAGATATACGGTGTATATGAATAGAATTAGGTGTGCTGATACTTGTACTTTGTGAACTTGAACAGTGAACACTAGAGTAACTAATTCAACTTTTTCTTGTTATTCAGACTGGCCGCCAGCGGACGGAGGCCCGGCGACGGACGCTAGCTCAATGGCCAACAGTGGTCCGCCCGCCGGCTGATGGTGGCTCGCCGACCGACGCCGGCCCGTCGGCTGACCACGGCATTCCGGCTGATGGTGGCCCGCCAGCCGACGGAGGTCCGCCGGCCATTCGTGGCACGCCCGCCGACGGTAGCTCGACGACACGTCCTGGCTATGTCACCCCCAAGATTACTTCGCCCCCCAGTCCCTAGGTGAGTGGCTGGAGAGTGGAGAGAACTTTGTGTGTTGCCGGGACGGGATGTCTGCTAATGCAGATGCCGTTGCAGGGGTCGTGACGTATGATGGGTCTCAGACTCGGGCCTCGACTTTTGAGTGAGAAACGTATAACAGGCTAATGTATTGCAATTATGGGCTATGGCTAAGTGTGCGACAGGAAACGCTATGAGCTATGAGTTATCGTCGCCGTGGCGGAAATTTGAGGACCGTCGCAACCTGTGATGTCGCCGTGACTGCTAATTCACGGTCGCCTTGGATCGTGTGTAACGGTCACTGTGCCTGGTATGTGACGGCCGCCGTGATTGTTTATATAACGGCCGTCGAGACTGAAACGTGACGGTCGTCGTGAGACCTGACGTGAGACCTGACGTGTCGCTGTGTCACAGGTCACCAGTTGCGGGCGCTTCATCTGACGGTGTCGTCCGACGGCTCCACGGTGACCAGCGCCGCCACTGCGGAAACCATCCGACCCCGAAAATGCTGCTAGCCGTACACGAACAAAGGGCGCCGGGCACCCAGGACCAGCGCCCTGCTCCGAGGCGGTGTCCAAAGAAGGCTGCACAGTGCACTTGCTGTGCTAAGGCATAGTGCCCGCTGACTGATAGGAACTGACGGTCAGTTATCAGATTTCAGTATGGAACTCAAGATGGTCGGAGCCGACCTGGCTCGGTGGATGGTGTGCCAGGGTTGATTAAGTGTCGAAAGGAGTGAGACGCCCAGATATGTGAAGGATACGTCGATACGAGCCCCGCCTTCGACTCCCCGTCCCAAAACGATGTTGGTTGTGATTGGAGGATCCCCCACCCCCACCCCACCCACCCCGGAATTTGTGCTATGTAATAGGACGATAATATGTCGTGGTCTCATTCTGGCTCGATATGGTAATAGGTACTTAATTGGACAGATGTTGATGGTATTGGTGGTGGATGTTAATGGCAGGTTTGGCGAGCGCGAATTAATAATCGTGAGTGCACTAGCTGCAATCAGTCGCGCGCTTATTGCTGAGCACCTGTGAGCAAGAAAATTATATGAATGTGGTAGTTCGTCGTGAAATCTGTGTACTTTTGGATTAAGTTGTCAGAACATTAGTGTATTTTTGCCGTGTCCACTGCAGCTCTGAAACAGCAACATGGAGATCGGCTGTGTGCTGTAGCTGCGGGGGCAAGTAGTCCGCGCGTGCCAAAAAAATCAAAGGTGGTTTGTGAATTTAAGTGAATATACCTCGCTATATTTTCAACTTTATTATTGCAACAAATGCGTCGACTGCTGATTACCCTCGGGTCCTAACAATAACGTTTGCGATACTGGAAAGTACATAGACAATAGATACCCTTGCAATAGATACGATACAATAGATATAATACAAGACAATAGATATAAGACAATAGATACGACTGGCGCGATCCGAGAATCTCTCTCACTGTTTTTGCTGACCTACACACGAAAACACGGCCGAATAGCTACCATCGAGAGCACGGAACGATGCTGGTGACTGACGGACCAGCGAAAATAGAGCTCCCGTCTACTCGCGGAACAGCGCTGATTGGCGCGGCTCACAGACTCCATTGGCTCATCAGAGTTCAGACTGTTGACGGTTGTTGCTCCTCCCTCCCCTCCCCGAGAGGGCGTAGCCAAGTAGCTTACAGGGTGGGGCAGCATAATCGGGAATGCTTTTTGGGCTCTAATCATGAGTAGGCATGACATTATTTTGATAAATTATAGCATGGCAATGAAACGCCCAAAAGTTGTGCATCATCTAACATGACTACATCCATGAGCATGCAACCTCCTGGAAAAGAGCAGCAAAATAGTTCGACGGTGCTCCAAGTGCTTTGCGCGCGCCCATAGACACTAATGTTAAACGAGTAAAACAAGAACATTTTGTTGAAACCCCTGCAATTCCACGTAAAGGTTGCTGGACAGGTCAACGTGTTATCACGGACAATAAGGATTGTGTGGGAATACTTAGGACAAAAGGTTAACGTAATCGTCGTAAAATAACTCTTAGCAGAGGACATACAGATGACTCACTTGAATATAAGGAAGACGCTCTTGAGCATATTAAAAAGAAACAATGTTCAAAACTTCAGCGACCAAAAATCTCACCACCGACTGGAATACGACAAAAAAGAATGGCAAGCCATATAGGGGATTGTATCGAGAATATTCCAGCGGTCATGCAAAGTAAACATCCTGTTGGGGTGATGGACCTATGGGTGGTCTTCAAGGGAGGTGCACGTGGTGCACCCTACTTCATCGAGCCCAGATAAAATGAGCACCTCTGGTAAATACATCCGCACTGTGGCAGACTCATGTGGAGCCGTCGGAACAGAGGATCACTGACGGTCCAGATCACGTCTTACGAGGACTCTGTCCGTGCTGGTACTGCAGTGAGGACGTCATGTTATTGTGTAGGGCACCTCCACCTGAGATGAACCAAAAACTTCTGGTCCTTCAACTCCGCCGATTTAAATCCGACCAAATTCTTTACATGGAGCGTTTTTTGGTAGAAGGTTAATGAACAACTTATCATCAGTAAAGACGGTCTTCAGTGCAAGGTACGATGCTGATGGGCGATCATGGACAAGCAGGAGGTTGCACGTGCATGCGCGTGCTTTTGGACCCGCCTTGAGAAGGTCATCGACGCCGAGGGCGGTCACATAGGATGAGAGATAGGTAAAAGGTGACCAATTGATGGGATGTTGCTAAAATAGTGCTTGGAGCTGTATTTTTAAATTCATGACCAAATAATCCCGTTTGATATTTATTCCCGATTATGCTGCCCCACCCTGTAGTTGTGTGCGCAGCGGGCGGCCAGCGGGCGGTCTTTTTGCATCTGTGTAACCGTTGAGTGGATGGTATCCAGACGAGCTAGGCGTCGGCATCGCCCTTCCAGCGGCCGGGCAGCGCAGGTGGACGTGCCGCGCCCCGCGGATGGTCCGCCTCCGATCTCGGCACACTCTGCAGAGTGCGGCTGGACGCTCCACGGAGTTGCATAGCGTCGATAGGCCGTATGGTGTCGCTGTCGTAATTATAAAAGCGTAAGTAGAAGGTTGAAGCAATATAGAATGCTATCTTTTTCGAGCTTTGTTGCACATAATTTAGTAGGTATTGGCCGTTTCTTTACAAATAATATCGCAAAGCACAGCTTTATGTGCTGGTAACGATATGTGCGCGTCGGTTGCGGCGGTAATCGTCGAAAAATACATAATTTATGAACGTTTCTTGATCATTGAATGATAAACGTGGCAATGTTTGCCTGTTGTGAAGAAGACTCCTATACTGCCGCTCTATCGTCCGGAATTATTCGTGTCTGATTACGGGGATTCCGCCACTCTATCAGCTGATTTTTGTTTCCGAGTCACGTGACCAACCGGTGTCTCCCTGGGAGGCGATATGGTGCCACACTGGCGGTTTTTACGATAGCTCAAAATTCTTTTGAGATAAAGAGATGAAATTTGACATGTCCTATCTTTTGATCAAGCTGGATCTTATGGTACAAGTCGCATATTTAAGGTAGGTCAGGTTGTTGACCTATGTTGTCGCTCGTGAGCCTCTGCACAGTCCAAAAACAACGCAATTTCTGAACACTCAGTGCCAAGAAATCCTTCACAGAAAGATGACACTTGGCAGAAAGAAGAGTTGTCGGTTTCTTACCGTTCGTATGTGTCGTGTTTTCACAAGAGTTTAGTAAGGTCAGGTCCGTCACGTGACCTCCCCTCATAACTCAATAGGTTTACTATCATAGAAGCGTTTGTTAATCACCGGAAATCTTAGCCAATCCCACTGGACACTGGATCCATACCCACATGGGGCCCTCCTGACCGGCCACTCCCTCTGAAATCAACAATAACATTGGGCTGCGGCCACGGTTATGTATTAATGCTCTTCACTAACAGAAATACAACTTCAACCAGCACAGTGCACGCCGCCACAACAGTCCGACCCACGTCCCTGATATCGACTAGCTCCCGGCCGGATGCACATACGCGGAGCCAATCAGTCCGAATGTGACCTGCAGCTTACAATTGCTGTGTCGCATGGCGCATGGCACAGGACGATTCCTAGCAGCTGTCGGCTGGAGTGGAGAAACAGCACGTTGCGACACACCGCGCCGGCGACAGAGCTCAGCAGGGCTGGTTGGAGGCTGGAGCCGGAGGTAAGGGCGGACACAGGCACAGACATTGCAGGACAAATAACAGGATGTCAGTTAGGGATATAATGCAAGACGAATAATTCAAGACGGACTGAAATAATGCACATTTTGCTCACTTGGATACCAACTTCAAACTTGACGTTTATGCATAGCACCATGGAAACAATGGGCACACAGGAAAGAAACAAAAGATGAGGGTTTTTTGACTCAAGGAAGTAAAACAGCCCGAAGTGCAGACAAGCACATACTTTTGGTAATAGCTATCAGCTGTCCTACTCCTCTTCTCCCTTCATCAACTACTGGACACATTTGAAGCATCATATATTGATATAGCACCAAATACCAATGTCCATAACCAAAGCTTGCAAGTAGTTTTAACTGCTATGAAGCCAAGGGAAATGGGCCTACATGTAAACTCAAAGTAGTGTCAATGATAATAGACATGACATTTTTGTCCTTTGACATACATTTGTTGAAGTACAAAAAGGTACAAAATAAATTGGTTTGTTTCAAGACACGCACACTGCACAAAGCCGCACAGACATTACACACACACAGGCATATGAAATTGGTACACATAAAAAATTGATGATTAAAAAGGTCAAAACTTGCAATAATAATTGAAGTAAAAGTTACAATCACAATCACTTGATTTAAAATGACTTGACATAAGTCACAAGACGCAACACTCCTATTCTTTTATGCTTTCATTATCCTCCACATATCAACCAGCTTGATACCAGGCTGTGCAATAGTGTGTACATAACCCCATGTTGCCATTTTATTAGAGCAAGTGGGGTTACAACAACAATGCTAATGTCAAACCCACATTTGCAACACGTACTACAGTTTCAATCACCTTACAAGCACACCTTCTGGCAGTTTGATAGGCAGAATGGTAATTACTACTTTCCCCTCATATTCAACACATATTCCCTTTATACAGATACAGTTTAGACCTGGTTATGGCAAGCACTTTCGAGAAAAGATATGATTAAAGTCCAAGACAAAGGTCGAGAGAAACAACACCAACATAAAACACCGACTATGTAGCACTAATACTGTCAAATTCATAAAAATATATACATGAGTCGATCAGAAATTCACTGTAGATTTCGAAAATGGTGTCAAATGCCACTCAAATACCCCCATTCGCATGTACGAAGCAATAAAACACTGACCTTCAACTCCGCGTGCCATTCTCCATAGGCCACTGTGTATTAAATAACGCGTTCACTGATAGCAAAAAAAGAGACCCACATATGACGCGTTTGCTACCAGCCAATCAGCGCTCGAGTTACCGAGCGCTGATTGGTGGAGAGGGCCGTCGTCAGCAGCTAATTGCACGTTGTTTTCCTTGAACATGTGCGTGAGCGCTGATGCTGCTCACGGGCTGTTGCCATTTTTCGTAATGCTGAAGGCACGGGAGCGAACCCCCCTGGTTGGGATATAGCCTTGGTTGGGACGCGATGCATTGCGGTACAAAATAAGTAGTAAGGGCCTGTTCGAAAATGGAAGTTTTCAAATAACGACTTTGAACTGATCGCCAATTGCCCGGCAACGACGCAAGAATCGCAAAGAAAGGCTAATGTTGCTAGGCAACTGATCTGTATTCTGCTATCAATAATGTATACGTAACCAATTCAAACACCATTTTTCGAGCATTTATGCCACAATCACGTCATAGTCGTATACAATATTCCCTTCATAATGACTTGAAGGTTTTTGGGCCTGGAATAAAAATTGTTTTTTTATTTTCACTCACTCCTATGTTCTAACTTTTAAATGGCATTTGAATCACACTTATCATTTTATTTGATATCATACATAATAAATTGGGATGCTGGTGTTTCAAATCACGTTATTGCATTTTGAAACTGACCAGTTTCTTAGCTATGCTGGAAGAATTTCGCTACCATATCGAAATAATAGGCTACCATATGGGTTTGTTCCCGTCGCTCCTCTAACCTCCTCCAAGCTCCTCTAACCTCCTCTCGTTTCAAAAATCGTTCCCGTCGCTCCTCCAAGCTCCTCCAAGCTCATCTTGATTTCACATCTCACCACCACTATTTGCCTCCTCC